TAGATTTTGAGATAATCCTAAGAACATTTTACATCAAAATTATATACCATGATAAAATTTGAATGTGCACCTTACCTGTACACCTACTGATGTATCTGTATGCAAACTGCACCCTTAGTTATCTACATGGATAAATAAATAAATAAAAAGTTTATACAAGGATGCAACCTTATGATGTAGAACTACGGATGCACCTCAAAATTCCATCGGAAATGGTCGTTTTAATGTTGAAAGACACTTTGATTGATCATCTCGACATCGAGATGTATGACCATGAAAAATAAAAAGATTTTAAGTCTCAGAAATAGTGCATTTTATAATATATTATCTACACCGTCCATTTTTAAGATTTTCATATGTTTATAGATCTACTTGATTTTAATCATTTTTGAAATTTAAAATTTTATAATTAGATATAAAAATAGATTTTGAGATAATCCTAAGAACATTTTACTTCAAAATTATATACCGTAATATAATTTGAAGCTGCACTTTACCTCTACAGCTATAGATGCATCTGTATGCCAACTGCACCCATAAATAAATAAGTGACAATAAAAACCTAATTCGACACCTTTTTTTATTTTTTGTGCCATCTGAATCAATTCTAAAGAATACATTCTTGTGACATTTTAAATTTGGGCATGCGTTGTACTCCTCGAGAGTATAGTTTACTTTTACTCCCTCCGATAGACTACCTCTTTGGGACGATTTTTTTCAATCAATATTTAGAGAATCACCTAAAAATTAAAAGATGATTATTTTAAAAAGTAAGCAATTGAAATTTGAGTTTTCTAATGCTTGGATCTCACCTTCTAAAAACTGGAATATTCAATCTCGATACATTATTTTTTACAAGTGCATGAATGGTACAATTAGGAATTTTTTTTATTGATGTATGAGTTGAAGAGGTTATGTCCCCAAAAAATTTACCTTATGAAATAACTCTTGGTAGGATTTACCCAAGGGAGTACATGTATAGTATATACCTAAGCAAGTATAATATCTTTTGGCTTTGAATTAAAAAGTGAAATGAAACGAAAATGAAAACTTTTTATACTCTAAACAGCAATTAAGCCCCCCTCTGTTGCACCGGCTGATCACTTTGCTAGTGTTCACCTTCGTCAAGGTTTACCGACCTACCGGTGAACAGTCGTTTACTAAACTCAAACTAAAGAAGAACTAGTGGTGAGATGCCTACATCCCAGGTTCCCAGTTCCTATGAACCTTGAGTTTGAAGGTCTAACCTTGAGTCAATCAATAGGTAGGATCAACTACACCAAAGTGGAAGGGCCACTATCTAAGCTATTAGTAGGCTTGTTCGTTCAACTAATATTGAAATGATATACTGAAGGTCGCCCTAGAAGTTCAAGTGGTCGTCTGCCCTTTTTTTTTAAGAGTCAGTGGTAGCAATGTCAAAGCACTTGTTGTTGAGGGTGGGTTTGCTTTTCAAAAAAACGATTGTTGAAGAAACGAAGAAAACTACACCAAGCGTTACCCCTCTCTCTCTTATTGCATTCATTTTAGCCCCACACTGGAATTTTCCGAAATATCACGGGGGTAGAGCTGACAAAAGAGTGTGTGGGATATGGAGGGTTGTGAGCATATGTTACCCAAGCGAACGTGGATGAGTGCTTCCTCAGAGGGATGTGGGCAACCCTTTCAAAAAGGAGCCTTTTAACTTATTAAATATGAATTAAGTTTTGAATTAAAAATTAATGCCTGCAATGGGCTCCACACCTTTCTCCTTAAAAGCATATTTAGTATAAACAAGAATATTTTTTTTACGTGGAAAAACTTATTTATGTGATTGGGTGTGATAGTATTTTCATATCAATTGGTTGCTAATTAGTGTGACATAATGCACTGGAATTAATTTATATGAAAAAACTCCCACATCTAATCACATGAGGAGTTTTTTTATGTGAAAATACTTGGAAAAATTGTAAATACCCCCCCATATTGGAGTTTCTAGACAATGTCCCTCCAACCAATCTTTTCATCACAAGTTTTACCCCAAAACGAACTTTTCTAGCAAATATTCCCCCAAATAAAAAAGTCATCGGTTTTTTTGACAAAAATGCCATTACCCGTACATGATGTCACATCCCTGTAAGTTGCTCAACAACTCGAAAG